GTATTTTCCTTCAGCGGTATAAACTGTCCTTATTCCCCCCCCCTTATCCGGGGCTCCAGGAGCCATCCTGGCACGTTCAGGGATGCAGCCTTTTCCCGTTTGCCTCGCCAGCACCCCGCACGCTTGCCTGACCGTGTCCCTGCCTGGGGACGGAGCAGGTGGAGCAGCTTCCTGCAGTGGAACCAGACTGAGACGTGCAGGATACTCGATTGCAGTTACTCTGCTCRGTGAAGCCGCTGATCCCTTGGCAGGGAGCACCGAGTGCCCAGCCAGGACCTGGCCATCCTCTGCGGTGCCAATGAAACCCACAGGGGCCCCAAGGTCTGTTACTTGACGTGCTGCTCTTTTTCTTTTGTTTTTGTCACATTTTCCCCTGGTTCTCTTTTTCCTGAGAAACCCAACAATTACAGAAGTGGGTCTCCAGTGAGGGACTTTGGCTCTTCACTTCCCCACTGTTTCTCAGGAAGGGCTCAGGGTCGCTCTATGGCCTTTTGCTGTGTTGAACAGCAGCTCTGTGACCACAGCAGGGCTGCTTGCATGAGCTGGGGTTGATCTACATGCCTGGGGGTGTAAAATCTATCCCTCAGCTTCTGCATTTTGCTACCCAAAAATGCAATTAATTGGCTTGCAAATCAGCTCAGGACCTCAAGCTGTAAAATGTGTTAAAGATGCAGGTGCTCACATGGGAACCGAAGTCTACAAGCCAAGGGAAATTGCTAGCTTTTGGTGGAACACAACACCTGGTGGAAACACCCTGCTGCCTCCCTGCTAAGGACAGTGCAAGAGCTGCACCCTGTGCAGCCCAGCTCCGTACAACATCATGTAGCTGATTCCTTCAAAAAGAAACTTGCATGACCACCYTTCTTGATATAAACTTGATATAAACCACCAACTTSAAACCACCTTTCTTGATATAAAGGAAAGAAGAGGCCATAGGATAATGTCAAGTTTTYRTGCATTGTWGGTATTTTTTTTTAGTGCATATCCATACAACTGTACTGGAAACTCTTTAGTGAGGCTGCTCACCAGAAGCTGAGGGTCTTGTACTTAACTGGGGTTAAATGCATGGAACCATCAGCTTCTATTATTATGGTAGGTCCACGACTCGCGGCGCAAGTAGGGCCAGAGGCTCTTCCAGGATTGTGAGATGACTTTGGGCATTGGAAGAGAYTGTGGGAGGGTTGTGGTTATCCACTGTGCTCGTGCTTCCCTGCTGCTAGGTGACCTGTGGACCACAGTGGCTCCTGCAGCGGTGACCAGGACCTGGAGAGCCCGAGCGGAGGCTGTGAGACCCATTGGGTTCAGTGGCTGCTCTCTAGCAAGGATGTCCCTGCCTGGCTGTCTTTGCGGGTATGATCAAGATACAGGGAGGAGGAGGAGGAAAATCTCTGTTGTGCTGCAGAACATGTGAACTTTTCCCTTCAGCATCTCAGGCCGTGTCCTCTGTGTTGCTTAACACATCTTATTTTCCTCTGTTTTAGCCTTGCAGGGTGGAGGACAAGAGCAGTGAGCGCAATCCTGGTGGGAATGTGCTCACAGAAACCATGCTGGGGAGCAGACCCGGTGCACGTGAGGAGAGCGGAGGCTGCAGGGCTCCCCTTGGATAATGGGATTCACCCCGTTGTCAGCTGGGCAATAAGGCAGGAAGGAGTGATGTGGGCACCAGGCTGYGCAAATCCGACCTTGTTGCTGCCCGGGTCGGCCCTACATCTACTGGTTAAATATGTTCTTCTTCTGCTCAACGCTGATGTGGTCACATGGAGAGAGGAGCAGCGTGTGAGTCACGGGCTCGGTCGCTGTGCTTGGTCCCAGGAGGCTGGGTGTGGAGCTGGCCAGGGGAGGAAACGTGGTAGCCTAACTCTTGTTTTCCTTCTCTTTTGCCCGGAAAGCTGCACCCACGGGAATGCAGAAGGACAAGACTCATCCTGCCTGTGCGCGAGGCCGGGATGCTGGATGGGAGGACGAGGAGGAGTGCCAGGACTGTGAGTAAGGCTCTTGGCACTGCCATCCGCCCTGCCCAAGGATGTCCCAGGAGAGCCTGGCCAGGCACCGCTTTCACAGAAGCGTTGTCATTATAATGACCAATATATTCATTAGGTCATTATATATCATATGGTCCCTATRATGGATATATCTATATAGGTCATTTTAATGGCCATATGCTCATCCTAAGTTGAGTATGTGTTAGTGCCACCACCACTGTCCTGTGAAAAGGACAGAGTGAAATGGTCAGTCCCAGCAGGAGTGTCTCACACGCAACCCGATGCCATCCTCTGCTTCTGCTCGGGGTAGCTTAGGCCTCACCTAAGAGCCCTGGGCCCAATTGTGGGCACAATGTGTTAAGAAAGGTAAAATCCCTCAGGTCAGGAAGCGGAGGCAGTAGCCAGGATGGTCAGRGAAACATGTCCCCATTGGGGACAGACTGAAAGAACTGGTGGTGTTTAACCTAGAGGAAGGGGGCYCTGGGATGCTTATTAGACCTTTTCATATATAATACATATATACATAATTCATAATAGGTTGCTGCAGARGAAGACAATAAATGGGTCTGCATTTCAGCAGGGGACAGGAGAAGAACTGCAACCACAGAAGTTTTGTCTAGACAGTGGGGCAAACTTTCCATCTGTAAGATAATTAAGCCCTGGAAAAAATATCAGCTGGGAAATCTCCATCGGGGGATGTTTTTAAGAGCAGGTTGTGTRTACAAACCTCCATTGCCAATGCTGGTTTGAGGCAGCAAGTATAAATAACATGACTTTGAGGGACTTCTGACCCCTAATTTCTGTGTTTTGATTAGTTCCCCCACTTTGGGGCTGCTGTGCTAGCATGTGGTGTCCCRGGGTTTCACAGGAAGCCAGGTGAGGCAGCTGAGGAGGATGTGACTTTTCATAACAAAGCTGTTAAAGATCTAATCAAAGAGCTAAGGAATCAATATGTGAGAAAATATATTTTCATTTTAAAAACCACTCCGAGCCACCTTTGCATGTGTCTGCACAAGGGAGGCTCAGAGAGGATTCCTTTCCAGACATCCATGACAACTCTGGTATTGTTGCACTCCTGATGGTGGTGCTCGGGAAGCCTCCCTGCTCATGCCCGTGATGCTGCCCCTGCAGAGCTCGGCCCTTCCCGGCCGTGACAGACGGCGAGCGCGCCGGGACGCGGGCCGCAGCYGCCGTGCTCGCCGTGGGGCAGCCGCAGGGCTCCGCTCTGCAGTGTTGCAGCCGCTGTCTCCTTTTTCCGAGCGCTCCTTTCCAAACACGCTGTGTGCCCTCACACATCCCTCATCTCTGCTTTGCAGGAGCCTTTGGGAGGACTTTGCTGCAGCAACGCGGAGCGCTGGCAGCATCGGCAAGGTCGATGCCCGTGCTCCGGTGGGACCGGCGCGTGGCTGCAGGTGCCGCTTGCACCCAAACACTCGGGATGTGACCCTGGACCTTCAGCCGGCTCCTTGGAAGGCCGGAACATGGGGGGGTGGCCTCCGAATGGGCCCGCTTGCCCTGTCTGCTCATGGGTGCCGGACGTGTCAGGGTGGCCGAGCGCCCTCCTTCCCCGCGGCAGCTGGTGCAATATGGAGAGCGTCTGCTCGGCGGGCTCCAAACCACCCTGGGGATGACGGCRCTGCCCTAGGAGCCTGCCTGTAGGATACAGCGGCTCCCGTCCTGCGGCTGCCAAGGTAAGCTGCCGCCTCCCTCATGGAAAGGCGACCGGAGGCCCCCGGACCGGGGCGCCCTGTGGGGCAGGTACCTTGTGGACACCCCTCTTCTTCCTCTTCTGCCCCCGTTACCGCTGCCCGGGGGGATGCGGAGGGGAGGGGGGCCCCCTCCATCCAGG